ACACTTTGACATTATTTTTAGCCGCCATCAATCTTCAAAAGATTAAGGAGATAATTAACTCATCAATTAAGATTAATTAATAATGAGGCACAATAGTTAAAAAATAATAATTTAATTAAGCACACCAAAAAATTAATTAGTTAATTTAATTTAATTGTTCTATTGTTTTACAACACCATTTTATTTACTGTTTTATAAAACAACACAAAAAAAAAAAAAAAACAATTGCCCATTCTTATAAAATATAAATAGTACTAATACCTAGTATAAAATAAATAAACTACTAACTAACTAACTAACTACCCACATGCGTTCTAAAAAATACTAATCACATGTATTTACAATAATTAATAAAAAAATTTGGACATAATAAAAAATTATAATAATATATTTTTTTTAATTATTTACAATAATAATAAAAAAATACCTAGGTTGGGTGAAGAGCACCGGCGGCAAAGACCACGGAGCACGGCGGCGACTGGAGCACCGGCGGGCAGGCGGCGAGAATAGAGAGATCAGTCAGCGGTGAGTCGGCGGCGGCTCCAACGGAGGAGGTCGTCGGAGGTAATTATATATTTTATTTTGAATTTTAAAACTAAATTTTGTTTTTGTTTTTTAAATTTAACAGAGAGAGGAGGAGTTGAGCTTCAGCTGGGGGAAGAAGAGGTGTGGGGAGGAGAGAGAGTGAAGACGCTCGTGTCAGTGGCGTCTCGTGTCAGCGGCTTCTCCTGGTCAAAGCACGGTCCCCGAGGCTGGTTATCTTGATCTGGACCGTCGGATCAAAGTTTCGATTGGGCAATCTAGACCATTCAAAAATTAATATATTAAAATATAAATATTTATAAAATCCAGAGAAGACGCCGTTGGAGCTGGCGTCTCCTGTCAGTGACGCCGTCGGTGGTGGCGCCTCCTGCCGGTGCCGATGTGGAGAGTGGCGCTCAACCCAATTCATTTACTCCCCCAAAACAACACTATTTTAAAAACTGTTTTCTAAAACAACACCACCAAAAAAATTGCCTCGTATATATATACTACATAAAAAAACAAAAGATAAATAATTCAAACTAAAAGAAAAAAAAAAACGGTCCAAACAAAAAGGTTTGAGTTGGTCAATAAATTAAACACTAAAATGAAACAAAAGATTTATTCCATTTCAAAATATGAAAATCATTCCTTGAAAAATATTAAATGTGTAAACTACAATAACAAACAACGAAACAATAATGCTTTAGTTAGTCAATAAAAAAACACTACAGTACTGAAACAAAAATAAGAACGTAAGGATCATGGTTGTTCCAATTGAAGCCGACTTGCACGAGATAGGTGGGTGTGGCACTATTCTAATAAGAGGCAGTTTACAGTTCGTTCGTGCTATAATATTGCTCTTGCAACCTCGAACATCGTGCGAGGAAATCGAGGTGGAGGAGGTACCTTGGGAATGGAGAATTGAATAGGAAGTTCGAACGCAATATGGGATAACTATCGAAGGCACAATTTCTCTTGAGACAGTTGCTTGGAAGACATCGGAAGTTTGAAATCGGGTTATGCACAGGGAAGAGGGACTGAAGACGGGTGAGCTCATCAATTGGTGCACATGATTTCTCCATATTTTTCAACAATCTATGCTACCGAAGTTTGCTGCTACAACGACCCCCATGCCAACAATCCGCGAAACCTCCTCTTGAAGGCTCCATTAATGCCCCGTTTGGTTGGCAATATAAGATTAGCCAAGATAAGATTAAAAAATCTAATGAGACCCAATTATTTTATTGGAGGTTGAAACGTTCAACAAAAAAACTGATTAGAAGACAATATAAGGCAAGATAAGACAAGATAAACCATGATTATATAATTTTGGCGGGTCGACCCGACAATTTATTGAGGATACCAAACATCAAATTAAGTACAACTATTTAGTTAATCATGACTTATTTAGTTAACCATGGCTTATCTTGGCAATCAAACGGGCCTAAGATTATTGTTGACGCATCACTTCCAAATGGAACGAATTATTATTTTTGTGTCCATGATAGCTCGAAATTGTCAAGGAGTTGGTGGGCTGTGCGACACTTCCCGGGACGGCCAAAGGTGGTTGATTGCAAGATTCGATAAGTAAAAGTTGTGCTCTAGAAGCCATAACCATGGCTCAAGTAAAAGGGTGGAGATCGATTATGATTGAGGGCGATTGCATCCAGGTTAGTGACTCTTTAAAAGCCGGAGAACCTTCATCGGCATCGTACGGTGGTGCATGCAGACAAAGAGGATTTTTATCTGTTGCTAGGAACTTTGTTTCGTGTGATTTTCTTTTCTTGACACTAGCGAATGTTGTCGTCACCTTCCAACTGAAATTACTCATTGAGTTTAATGAAATTTCTTTCTTAAAAAAATATAGTTTGTCGAGAAATGGTTGAAGGCTGTAGATAAATTAACATAAATAAATTAACATTTTATGTTGCGCTTAACACTAAAAAAAGAAGGGTGCAAATTTAGACAGGATGGTCTGTTTTAATAGAAAAATCGGATAATATATGATGATTGATACTATGGATGGTTTAAATAAAAATATAATTAGAATTTTAATAATTGAAAAAAAAAAGGAAAAAGAAAACCAGCAGAACCCATAATCCCACTATGCCTAATTATAATCAGCGTGACTTAAGAGTGTCACGTGTCAAAAAATTAGTGGAATACGATTTATATTATTAAATATCGGCTCATCCGCTCAGAATTTAATCTCTTATTCTCAAAAAAGAAATACTAGTGCAAAGATAAAAATACCCCAGCTAAATTCTAAAAATCAATATCAACCATCAGGTGTACTCGAATAGGGTATTCTTGTCTTTTTACATATATTTATTTTCATCATGCAAAATGTCAAGTTAAAAATTGAATTTTCTTGTAACCATATTTTCACTAAATAACTTGGAACTAATTAAACCATATATTTTCATTAATCACAAATAAATGATCTATTGACATTGTGATGAAAGTTTATGAGATTTTTATTTTATGTGTAAGGAAATAATTTTGTATGCGCGAAATTAAGTTAAGGGATCATTATAAATAAGTTCATTAATGGGTACCTATTCATAAAGAGACCCAAACAAAAAATTCTTTTATCAATAAGTCCGCATATGGTTCAGATTTTTGTAAAAGACTAAAATAGCCCCTCATACTTTAATATGCTCCAATTATACCATTAACTTAATTTAACCTCAATTTGACCCAAAATTTCATAAATTATTCAATTTTGACCCAAAACTTTTTTTTTTTCAAATTTCTTTTTGCCGCCGGACTCCGGCGTTACTTTTCATTTTTTTTCTTTCTTTTTGTAACATTTTTTTTTCGTTTAAACAACAATATTGCTGTGATTGACAGTAATATTAACTATATTACTGTTAAACACATTAAAATTAACTAAACTACAGTTTAACACAATAATATTGCTATATTAATCTCTAGCACAGTAATATCAACACAACAAAACTCATTATTATTGTGTAATAGAGTAATATTACTATGTTGACCGTTCACCAAATGTAAACATAATAAAAAGTCAAAAGAATTAATATTACTGTGAGTGACAGTAATATTACTATAACAACAGTAATATTACTGTCAACCACAGTAATATTACAATAATAGACAGTAATATTATTACGTTACTCCGTGAATAACTCAAACAAATAAAAAAATCCAAACAAAATTATAATATTGATGTGGTTGACAGCAATATTACTATAACAACAGTAATATTACCGTCAACCACAATAATATTATTGTGTTTACAGTAATATTACAATAATAGACAATAATATTATTACGTTACTTTGTGAATAATTCAAACAAAACTGTCAACAAATCAAACAAAATAAAAAAATAATAATATAACGTTAATTTACTGTCAACGGCAGACCAATTACGTTAATTTACTGTCAGAGACAACACAATTACGATCAACATTTAGCGGCGGACGTAAAAAAAAAAACAAAAAAAAGAAAAAGAGAAAACACTTAAAAAAACACTAAAACAAATCAACGCCGGAGACCGCCGGTCAACGCCGAAAACCGGCGAAAAAATCCGGAAAAAGAAAATTCAACGCCGGAATTCAGCGGCAACATTTTTTTCTTTGAAGAAAAAAGTGAAAATTGAATTTTTGTGGTCAACATTGGATTTTTGTGGACAAAATTAATTAAATTGAGGTTACAATTAAGAATTGGGTATAAAAGGTTGGGGATAATATAGGCATACACATGAATGTTTCCTTTGCTTATAATAATTATAATAAATATTAGAGGGATGAGCTTATTGGTGAAAGAGATATAGCCCTAAGAGGATATTTGACTAAACTTATTTTAAACAGCTGATAAGCTCTTACGTCTGATAAGATGTTTTAAAAGCTGATAAGCTGTTACATCTTATTTTTATGATTAATTTTTAGAGTGTTTGGATAATAAACTTATTTTCTATTTTTACTCATTATAAGATCTTAAATAAAAATGTGGGGTAGGGGTACTTATTTAAAAATATTTTATTTGCTCTCCAACAACTTATTTTTAAATAAAATAAGATCTTTTTAAAAAAAATTACCAAACACTTTGGAAGAGCTAAGCTCTAAAATATCTTATAGGCTCCTTTTAACATCTTATAAGCTTAGCCAAACATCTAAACCTAAAATAATAAAGATGCTTGGTTAGGGACTTATGCACAAAAACCCCTTAAAGTTAAAGTTTAGATGAAAATAATATTTGCACTCTAAAAATTATCCAAAAACGACAAAGTTGTTCTTATTAACTTTTATCTAACATCAATTTGGGGTATATTGTAAACAAATTTGTTGTGATTTAAGTGTGTAAAATGCTATTAATTATTTTATAGGGTGTAAAATGTCAAAGTATTAACTTTTAAGGGTCCAAAGTTAGATTAAGCCTATATAAAAGGGTCAAAGGGAAGTCCTGTGGTAATTTGTATTCGTACTATTCCGTTTTTGCTGAACGGAAAATAGATTTAAGTGCAAAAATAAGAGGAAAAATTGAATTTAAAAGGAATTCGAATCTGTACAGAAGCCCCGCCCAGAGGAATCATCACCGATTAAATGGCGGCCTCATCCCCAGCAAAGAACAACAGCGCCGCCGCAATCGACGGCGCCGCCACACCCTTGAGCTCTAACTCATCGAAGAGCCTTCGCGGCCTCAACAAACCTAAGTGCATAAAGTGCGGCAACGTTGCTCGCTCGAGGTAAAACCCTTTCGCTTTTCCCCTTCAATTTACTCTCCTTCTGTTAATGTAGGGTTTTTATTTTGTATGTGCATTCGTCTGTCATTAAAAAGGTTGAATTTTTTCCAAATCTTAATTCTCGATGCTTCCGATTGTTGTATTCCGTGCTTCATCTTGTTGTACCTCAGCTGTATCAGTGCGGAGGGTTTACGGGGTGGGTGGGTGGGTAACTGGAGGTGTTGTAGAACTGCTTTATCCTTTTAATGTACAGCCGAATTACAACACACAGTTCATGTAAATGTTTGCCATTTTCTGAAAATCCAAAAGGAAATCATGGACGTCGATCTGCTGAATCTAGGGATTAAAGCTTAATATGTGAGTTTAGATGGGTAGACAACAGAAAGGATGATTTACTGGATTCTTTGTAGGCTTGTGTGTCTGCAAGCAAATTGGTTTTGGAACAGGTAATTTGACTAGATATGTTCGAATCATTTTTCGGGCTAGCTTTTGGATTTCCGTTTTGGTTAAGCGGAAGGAGTGCTATTTTAGGGAGAAAAGTATAGACGCGATGTGTCTGGTCTGAAGTGAGGATAGTATACCACCATAGACTATAAGGCTATAACTAATATATCCTATATTATCAACTTTCGCGTAATGCTCGTACTCAATTTATTCGTATGAATATACTTGATATGGAGATAAACCGAACTGTTCTATATCTGAAGTTCATCCGAGTCTCAGTTTTTGTGAAAAAAACTCAGCAGTAGTAGTACACCAAACTACGAATTTGAAAAAAAGATTTTAAGGTTTGCATTCAATTTAACAAACAAATTAGCAATGCTGCATCTATGGGGAAGGTCCACCCTTAATACATGTGCCGAGTGGAATTCCTTATGAGATGAATCCTGAGTAATTGCTATTCCTTATGCCAATGAGAACTGGAAATTTGCTGTCTAAATGTGTTCAATCAGACCCTTGTCTTACATATTATGTGTTTGACTACTTCGGTTTTACTCATAGATGGAGTGAGTTGACATATTTTAGACATAAAATATATGTGCTCCTGCAAATCGACCCCTCTCCCAGACTCCCCCTCACACACACCAAAAAAAGAAAAATAGGAAAAAGAAAAAAAAGACTTGTGGATGCCGATGAATAACATTAAGAGACGTTAATTAAAAACTTGCATATCTGCCCTTTTGCTTAATTTAGAGTAATGACATAGTTCCTGAATATCAAATCATGCATGTTTATACAGGCAGAGACATCTTTTGGATGTAAACAGTAAGCAGTGTCCCTTTATTATATTTACCCTTTTTAAAAGCTCAAAATTTAGTTTCATTTTGATGCAGCTTCACTTGTGACTAATATCTGTATCATGAAAGTTTCATCTGCTGTTCTTTCAATGATACATTAGACTTAAAAATATTAAAATTTAGTACATAATCTGATGCAGTTGCTTGTGAAAGCTTATTTTATGCTCTAGTGGATCTCCGTATCTAAAAATGTGAAGTATTAGCCTAAGATTCATCAATAATAAAGAAGTGCTTAGTATATCTCCGTTGTAAAATCAGTAAATACTGTTGTGATGGGTCATGACCATCTCCAACAACGATGCGTTTGATCATCATAATCTGTGATTACACTATGTTGAGAAATCTTCCACCGCTTAATTTGTGTGTCTCAAATATATGTTACCTTTGTGTGCTTGTGCTGAAATATGATGAATTAAGGATTAAATTATTATCAAATGTTCCCATGCTAACTTTCTGAAATCTAGTTTCCAGTTATTTTTTAAATGAATTATAACAAGTTATTTGATGTTTAGTTTAAACCATGTTCAAAGATGACATTCATGTTGTGTTGTCACCAAGTATATATCACACTATTAAACTGTTTGCAAGAGCAAAGAGATACCTAGGCCTGCTTCTCCTTTGTCCTAAATATGTTTGTTTTCTGTTAGATCTATGCTTTTTGCTTGATATTCGGTTTTAGGCATGGGGGTTTCTGAATTTAATAGAGACCAGAATGTTGTTGATATGCGTCTGTGTGGCTGTTAATTGTTGTTATCAAAAGTGCTACTGGTTCTTCAGGTTTTCCTTTCATGTTTTATATGTGCAGTTGAGTGGTCATAAATATCCTTAAAGCATGTACTCCTAATAGTTATGCAGTCTCATCTGATAAACAGCTTGCTAGTTTGTTTCCATGCGGTTGCTTCCTAGCATTGATTAGTTCCTTCTATTTTAGTCACATCACCTGTGCTCTATGGGATTTTGGAAATGTCCCAATTCTCAAAGCAATTGTGCATATTTCTGTTCAGAAGTTAATGGAATCATACACAAGGATTGCTCTAACCGGTAACTTCAAATTTGGAGCGAAAAATGGTGAGGAAATTGCATTTTAGTCTGATAGGATAGGTATCTGCTATTTTTCTACCGCATCGTACTTAGTGGTCCTAATTTTGAAGGCAAGTATTTTTCGCTTCAAATTTCTTCTGTCTTCATTAATTAGGTGGAACAGGGACATGAACTTTGCACGTGACCATTTGTCTACTATTTGGACAGAAAAATAAGGCATCTTGCAAAACAGATGAGCCAAATTGAGACAAATACTCAATTACAATCAATTTTACTTGAAATGAAAATAAACCACCAAGGCAGCAATTATAAACTCAGACTGTTACTCCAATACGAGACAAGCAGTCGAGGGCTAACATTACTTAGTAATGTTGTGTTGTTTGGGACTAGAAAAGTAGTTTTGTCCTGTTTTCTCCTTCCAATATTTCGAGTTAATGACGATGTGCATTCTCGTGCATGTTCCATTAAATTCTAATGGCATCACATGTCGAGAAGACATGTGCACATTTTTGGAAATTGAGGGTATAAGAATCCGTAGAGTGTGGGGATTAACATTGAAACGCCCAGTCCTATGGGAAACACTACAATTTGGCTGACCTTCTAGCTTAAATTATTTTAGAACATAAGGTAAAGTGTTGATCTTATGGTTCCCTAAAGATGATGTGATCTGCTATGCTTAATAGACAATGAAGAATTGATTTAGTCAGTATCATCGCATTTCATCATATAGCTATTGATGTCTTGACACATTTTGTCGTGTAACTATTATAATTACACATGCAGATATGTCACTTCAAAATATCTCCTAAATCTTTTAGTCTTGAGGATTTTAAAATGCAATTTCGTGTAAGTATTGGTTGACTTCTTTCCCAGGAAGGAATTTGGTGAATTGTTAAGCAGGTATCGTGATCCATAAAGATGATGTAATGCACAAAAGTTTGCTTATGGTCTCAAACTATGATATTTTCAACTTTTTCCAACTTTATATGTAGCAATTTGGTCATCACGTTTCCCTGCTCTACCCTTTCATGAAGATAAATAATGATTTGCGCGACATTTGATTAGCTGTATAGGTAT